TTGTAGCCAGGTTGTGAGAAACATAGGTGAGCAGAAGTACATAACTGCTTGTAAGAAATAGTTTTGACAAGAGAATTCTGGATGGCACTGAGGTTAAAGGTCATTGCTAAGAGATCCAATAATTTGTCTGACAGAATCATGTCACATGGGGATATTTGGGCAATAAACAGATATGGAGATCAGAGCTATTTGAAAAACAATGAATGGACAGAAAGCATATATTCCTTAAGAAAGCTTGTTCTAAGGACTGCATTGCATAGTCCTTGAAATTAGGTGTTTTTAAATAATTTTGAAAATATTCTTTAAAAAGGCTACGGAACATTTTTGTGGACATTGCTATATAGTCACTTCAAATAAGGACTAAACGATAAGCAGATTTTACAGATATCAGTAAAATCTACAAGTTCTACTGAATCACAGACAAATATCATTTGACTTTTGGTACAATCAGCTTTCCTGAGTGTAAGAATATAGTAATTTATCCTCCATTTACCTCACGGTCCCAAGCACATAAGCCGGTGAGAATTATACCTGGGCTTGCGTAGGGCTTGCCTGGGCTTACCCCACCTTATCTCTAAGCATCCCGACCCTCCCCCAAGGCAACAGGCTGAGCGGGGATCCGCTACAATAAAAGGCACCACCCTGCTGCCCTCACTCACTTTGTCTCTCACTCTCTGTTTCTGTCTCTTTGTCTCTGTCTCTCTGTCCCCCTGCTCTCCCTGCTCTCTCTCTGTCTCTCTCTGTCTCTCTCTCTCTGCTCTCTGCTCTCTACTCTCTCTGTCCCTCAGCTCTCTCTGCTGCTCCCCCCCCTCTCTCCCCACCCCCCTCTGGGGCAACCACTCTCTTCTTCAGATAATAAAGTCTCTTGCGTGGGCCCGTGTCTACTGAGTCATTCTGGGTAAGGAGGGACATGGCGAGATACCCTTTCACTTAGTATGTCTACTTAACATGTAAGTATAATATCATATTACATAGTATAGGAAGAAAATGTACCCTTACTTTAATAGTAATATATTGATTTATAAGCTATAATTCTTGAGAATCAACCAATACCCAAGGAAATGCATTATGTAGTTATTATAGTTATCTCCTTTGCTTTAAATATTCAGAAAAGTGTCTTCTCAAGAATTACCTAACAGCTGCTGTATCACAGAAACTGTTCTTGCCAACTTCTGACACTTGTAAATGTTTTCAATTTAAGTTATTATTTCACTGTTACCCATCAATGAAAGCATAATCATCAATGTTCTGTTTATTTATGATTTGATTCTACTTAAAGAGATCATGAAATACATATTAAAAAGAGAAATTGGATCCCATGCTACATTGATAAAAGCAAGTAATTTGCCTTTCAACTAGAAATGTAGAAGAATAAACAAACAAAAATGATGTATAGCATATGTTCGTTAACATGTTTGAAATTAGAGTAGTAATATCCTTCCTCACTCCATAATGATTTCAGAGTTAAATGCTTAACACCAGATGTTCCATAATACGTATTACCTGTGTCACTGAATTTCAAATGTATAAGGCTTTTATGTCTAAATCCCTGAGAATCATCACCTTTCATTGTCTTTTTTCCTAGATGTGTTTGTATTTGGCAAGATTGTAAGTGGAGAAAAAGCATTTATGTGGTAATCTAGCTAACATTTCTAATTTGTATAATAAATAGCCTGCAAATCTATCTACATTTGTTGTTATAATTCCAGGGAGAAAATATGTTCAACCTGGAACAAATAACGTTTGAAGCCAAAATCAGTCAATGCGAGGAATAAAGTGGGAGAAAACTATTTCTTATAAGCAGTCTTGTACTTCTGTTCACCTATGTCTCTCACAACCTGGCTGCAAAAGGACTCCGACAAACCTCTCAGGTGGATATATGCTCTTGTTCCCTCCACCCTTATAATAATGTATTGATATGGTAATGGATACTTCTCTCCACTCCTTGGAAACACCTATTGATATGGAGATGAACTAAGGCCAGGTGAAAGATTCTGGAAATATTGCAATTTTACCCACAGTTGTTATCTAACATAGCTTTTACTGGAAGCAAGGTTTCTAGGCAGCATAAATTAACAAAAATGTTGAAGTTGAGAAGAGACATTTTTAGCTGAGATTAAATATTTTGCTAAAATATTCCATTTAAATTTCTTAGGAACTTGTGTTTTTATATTAAAATATTAAGTGTCTATTCCATTGTGGATAATGTTACACGTGTTTTTCAGGAATAGGTCAATTGTTTCATCAGAACATGTCTTTAGTGGAATTTCAAGATCTTACAAATTAAACATTTTATTGACACAACTTTCCTTTTTCTATGACCACTTTAGTCCTAATAATCCCTGAGGGGAAGCACAGTTACACCACCCTAGAATGTTCCACTTTGGCATATGCATTATTTTGAGCTGAAGACATTTAGAGCCCAGCAAATTAGGAACAACTTTTTACTTCCCGCTTAATTGCCTTAAAGAATTTAGATAGGGGGCTTGTACCAGGAAGAAAGTTATTACCAGAGAGAACTTTCTGTAGCAGAAAGACTCATCTGCATGGTATGGCAAATATTTGTTTACCAAACATTTGCTCTTATCTTCCTGTGAATTCTTTTCCTCCCTTTTGAAGCCCTAACCCTCAGCCCCCTTCTCCTTAGCTCAGAATGGGAGAGTAGTCCCCTTTATACATTCCATGATCCCCAATAGATGCCTAAAACCACAGATAGTACCAAATCCTATACATCCTTTATTTTTCCCTATGTATAAATACCTATAATGACGTTTAATTAGTACATTAGGCACAGTAAGAGATTAACTACTAATAAAATAGAACAATTAGTATACTATAATAAAAATTATGTGAATGTGGACTCTCTTTCTCTTATTGTACTGTACTCATCCTCTTTGTGATGATGTGAGATGATAAAATACCTGTGATGAGATGAAGTGAAGTGAATGACATAGGCATTATGATGTAGCATTAGGCTACTGTTGACTTTCTGATGATATGTCAGAAGGAGGGCAATCTTCTTCTGGACCATGTTTGACCACAGGTAACTGAAACTGTGCAAGTGAAACCACAGATAAAGGGAGACTACTGTAAATAATCCCCAATTTCCTGACTGCCAGGGAGTCTCATATTTTTATGAGCTTCTATATGTATGAAAATTGTTTTTCTCCTGTTTATTTGCCTTATGTCAATTTATTAGACCAGCCAAAGAGTCAGAAGGGAAGAAGGGGAAAGTTTTCTGTCCCAACACCCATTTTCTTCACACTCATTTTTCTACCTCCATTCCACCTCACTTCCTAGCCCTAGGACATAAAACATAAAAATACTTATACACATGCACATAGTTATATATATGTATATGTTCCCTCAGGCACACACACATCTACATTGGAACTCACACAAAGTAGAATGTAGTCTTGGTTGGCTTGCTTAACACCCATTCCCAATCACCTATTTTTCTTGCTTTCCTCCTCTAAAAAGGCTGGAAAGTAAAATATTGCCTTCTCAAATTTCCTTCCATCTAGGACTGGCGATGAGACATGGCTTTGATCAATGAAATGAAAGTGGAAGTTTTTGGGGGGATTTTAAAAAAGTTTTCTTGAGGATCACTTTACTAGAATTTGCTTTAGCCACCTTCTTCTTTCTTCATGCAATGCCTGGAGGTACAGCAATTAGAATGACCAAAAGTACACATTAAGGATGGCACTGAAGATGTGAAAGCCTTAATATTGATGCCCCAAATATGCCATCAGCCTCTAGAATTTGAAAGAGGCAAGTTGCATTTTGTCCCCTGCACTTTCACAGAATGAGCCGTGGCTACACCTTTACACCTTTATTTTAGCTCCATAAGATTCATTTTTGACCTCTGGCACCTAGAAGTCCAAGAGAACAAATTTGTGCTGTTTTAGGACACCAAATTTATGGTAATTTTTTACAGCATCCATAGGAAATTCATATAACAGGAATATATAAATGGGAGGGGTTCTTGGAAATACTGTTGAATGGCTATACTGTAGGATCTGAAGAATCAAAAGTTAGCATAAGTACAGCCATCTTAAGGCCTAAATACCACCCCCTAACCCAGAAGAAGCAAAATCATTAGAATCTTGAAAAACAAGTTAGTTAGCCTGTGTCAATTGTAGTGACCTTTCTGTGTCAATTGTAGTGACCTTTAGTTAGCCAACCGTAAATCAGTTAATCATACACGCCTAGCTTATCTTACTAGAACCACCCTAGACATTCCGTAGGTGATCTCATCTAATCAGACCCCAGGATGTGGCGCCAGCAAAAGATTTATGAGCCTATAGAAAAAAACCCTGTATTGTGATTATGGAAAATTTTACCCCTTTTGAAAATGCTATAAAACCTTCTGCCTTAGTGTGCTCGGGGTCCTCGTTGAGACCCGCTGCGACGGGCTGACTTGGACCCCAACTAGTTGGCTTCTGAATAAATTCCTCTTGCTTGTTGCATCAAGAAACGTCTTTGGTGAGTGATTTGGGGCGGCGCCTTCCTCAGGGGAATCCAACATTTGGGGGCTCGTCCGGGATCGGTTGTCCACCCCGCTTCACTCCCGAAGTCGCTCTTGGAGGAAGAGGTAAGATTGGTGGCGCCTTGAGTTGTTGTTTGTGTTCTGTTTTCTGTTTCAGTGAGACCGGTCAGAGTTCTGAAGGGTACCCGTTGTCTGGCAGCCGTCTCAATCCCGTACAGGGGCTGTGACTGCGGTCGGTAGACGTACTAGAGCACCGCAGGCTGCAACCCTGGGGGACGCCTCAGGGAGGTTGGGGGGCCAGGGACGCCTGGTAGCCTCCCGTCTGTTTTTCCGGCAAACTGAACCTGATGAGATAGGGTTGATTTTTGGGCGCCGAGAATATCAACCCTCTGATTCCTTTCGGTTTCTGTTCGAGGCTCTGAAAAGAACCAAAAGCGGCCGCTGTGTGTCTAATCTGTGTGTGTCTTTGTTTTTTGTGTCCTTTACGTGTCTAATTATTGTTATACTGACAATGGGACAGACAGTGACGACCCCCCTTAGCCTGACACTAGATCATTGGACGGAAGTTAGAGCGAGGGCACGTAACTTGTCAGTAGAAGTGAAAAAGGGACCATGGCAGACTTTCTGTTCCTCCGAATGGCCCACCTTCAATGTTGGGTGGCCCTCGGAGGGGACTTTTGATCTCCCCACTTTACTAGCAGTAAAAGCTATTGTTTTTCAGGATTCGTCTCAAGGACACCCGGATCAGCAACCCTACATTGTAGTCTGGCAAGAGTTGGTGGAGAACCCACCACCCTGGGTAAAGCCCTGGGTGCAAAAGAAAATGGGCCCTCGAGTTTTAGCTGCCCAGACTCAACCTCAGAAAAAGGAAAAGGAAACTACCAAAGTTTACCCTGATACTCAGGATTCGCTTATAATTGATGATCCCCCTCCCCCTCCTTACCCTCCTGCCCCTACGGCACCCCCGGTGCCCCCACCCCCAGCACCCTCAGCACCCCCAGCTCCGGCACCCTCAGTCCCTGATGCTGAGGCAGTAGGGCAGGCTCCGGGACCTGCCCAGGGCACCCGGCGCCGCCGAGGGGCCATCTTGGACCCACCGGGTATCTTTCCTCTCCGGTCTTATGGAGTTCCCATCCTTGGAGAAGAAGGGGAACCGCCTTTCCAACCTCTGCAATATTGGCCCTTCACCTCTGCTGATTTGTATAATTGGAAAGCTAACCACCCGCCCTTTTCAGAGGAGCCACAGAAACTAACTGGTTTAGTAGAGTCTCTGATGTTTTCCCACCAGCCCACCTGGGATGACTGTCAGCAGCTTTTGCAGGTGCTCTTTACCACGGAAGAGAGAGAGAGGATTCTCCTGGAGGCACGGAGGAATGTGCCTGGAACCGACGGACGGCCTTCGCAACTCCCTCATGACATAGAGAGGGGGTTCCCGTTGACTAGACCCAACTGGGACTTTAATTCTCCAGAAGGTAGGGAGCGACTAACCATCTATCGTCAGGCTCTGGTGGCAGGTCTCCGTGGGGCCGCAAGACGCCCCACCAATTTGGCCAAGGTAAGAGAGGTCAGCCAGGGAGCCACTGAAGCACCTGCAGTATTCTTAGAGCGCCTGATAGAAGCCTTCAGGCGGTATACCCCCTTTGATCCCACTTCTGAGGGGCATAGTGCTTCAGTGGCCCTTGCCTTTATCGGGCAATCGGCACCCGACATTAAGAAAAAGCTTCAGAGATTGGAGGGCTTACAGGATTTGTCGCTGAGAGATTTAGTGAAAGAAGCAGAGAAAGTTTATCATAAGAGAGAGACTGAAGAAGAGAAGGAGTTAAGGAAAGAGAAGGAGAGAGAAAGTAAAGAAGAAAAGAGAGATAGGAAGCATGAGAGAAATTTAACAAAAATCTTGGCCGCAGTAGTAGAAAGTAAGGGACGGCCGCCCTCTAGTGGTAGAACTAGTAAGGCAGGGTCCCTGGGCAACCGACCTCCTTTGGATAAAGATCAGTGTGCGTACTGCAAGGAAAAGGGGCATTGGGTGAAAGATTGCCCTAAGAAACCACCACGGGGACCTCCGAAGAAAGTGTTGTCCCTGCTAGAAGATGAGGACTAGGAAAGACGGGGCTCGGAGCCCCTCCCCGAGCCTAGGGTAACTCTGAAGGTGGAGGGGCAACCCGTTGAGTTTCTGGTAGATACCGGTGCTCAACATTCAGTACTGACCCAAGCTAGAGGCCCCCTTTCTAGTAAAAAGTCTTGGGTGTTTGGGGCCACGGGTCAGAAACAATATGCATGGACTACCCAAAGAACAGTAGACTTAGGAGTGGGACAAGTAAACCACTCATTCCTTGTTATACCGGAATGCCCTACACCCTTGTTGGGAAGAGACATCTTGACCAAAGTCGGGGCCCAAATATCCTTTCAGACTGAAGATACCCAAGTGACTGATAGAAAAAAGAGACCCTTGGGCCTAAGCATTCTGTCCATAAAGTTAGAAGACGAGTACCACCTTTTTAAAGAACCAGAACCCTCCCGAGTTAATCAGAGGTGGCTCAACCAGTTTCAAGGGGCCTGGGCAGAGACGGCAGGTATGGGACTTGCTGTAAACCAGCCCCCGGTGGTCATAGAATTGAAAGCCTCAGCCTCACCAGTAACTGTGAGACAATATCCAATGAGTAAAGAAGCCAGAGATGGGATTAGGCCCCATATCCAGAGGCTCATAGAGCAGGGAATATTAGTAAAATGTAAATCCCCATGGAACACTCCCTTGCTGCCTGTAAAGAAAGCGGGAACAGGAGATTATCGACCAGTGCAAGATTTAAGGGAAGTTAATAAGAGAACACAGGACATTCATCCCACTGTGCCGAATCCTTACAACCTGCTAAGCTCTCTGGCCCCAGAAAACACTTGGTACACAGTCTTAGATTTAAAAGACGCCTTCTTTTGTTTGCGCCTGCATCAGAGTAGCCAACCGCTGTTTGCCTTTGAGTGGAAAGACCCCTCCACAGGAACTACTGGACAATTGACCTGGACTCGCTTGCCACAAGGATTCAAGAACTCACCTACCCTCTTCGACGAGGCTTTACACCAGGACTTGGCCTTTTACCGAGCCTCCAACCCGCAGGTAACCTTGTTACAATATGTTGATGACTTACTGATAGCCGCTCCTACACAAGAAGTCTGCCAAGCGGCTACTGAAGCCCTTTTGACTGAACTTGCTAGGCTGGGGTATAGAGCATCTGCCAAAAAGGCACAGATCTGCCAACAACAAGTGACTTATTTAGGGTATTCCCTGAGAGAAGGGAAAAGGTGGCTTACTGAAGCCCGGAAGCAGACTGTGACGCAGATCCCGGTCCCTACTACTCCGCGCCAAGTCCGCGAATTTCTGGGAACAGCAGGGTTCTGCAGATTATGGATACCCGGATATGCCACCTTAGCTGCCCCCCTGTACCCCCTGACCAAAGGGGCAGCCCCGTTTGTTTGGGGACCTCAACAGCAACAGGCCTTTGATGAGATCAAGAAGGCCCTCCTGTCGGCACCTGCTCTGGCCCTCCCAGACGTATCTAAGCCGTTCGTCCTTTTTGTGGATGAACGGAGTGGAGTAGCTCGGGGAGTGTTGACCCAACAATGGGGACCTTGGAAGAGACCTGTCGCCTATTTGTCAAAAAAATTAGACCCAGTAAGTAGTGGATGGCCTGCCTGTTTGAGAGTAGTGGCAGCTGTGGCCCTCCTAGTTAAAGATTCTGACAAACTGACACTGGGACAGAAACTTACTGTGGTTGCTCCACATGCGTTGGAGAGTGTGATTCGGCAGCCACCCGAGAGATGGATGTCGAATGCCAGAATGACTCACTACCAAACCTTACTCCTGAATCGTGATCGAGTAGAGTTTGCCCCCCCTTGACATCCTAAACCCGGCCACTCTGCTCCCCGAGTTGGGGAAAGAAGTGCTTCATACCTGCCAGGAAATCCTGGCTGAAGAGACAGGAACCCGCCAGGACTTGCAAGACCAGCCCTTAAGGGGAACAGGACTCCTGACTTGGTACACGGACGGGAGCAGTTACATCATGGATAGTAAAAGAATGGCTGGAGCTGCAGTAGTAGATGATGACCGAGTTGTATGGGCCAGTGGACTCCCAACGGGCACCTCTGCACAGCGAGCAGAACTCATCGCCCTGACTCAGGCCCTAAGGATGGCAGAAGGTAAGAGACTTAACGTCTACACTGACAGCAGATACGCCTTTGCCACTGCTCATATACACGGGGCTATTTATAGACAGAGAGGGCTGCTAACTTCTGCCAGGAAAGATGTTAAAAACAAACAAGAAATTTTAGATTTGCTAGAAGCCATCCATAGGCCTAAAGAAGTAGCAATAATGCATTGCCCTGGACACCAGAAAGATGACTCTCCAATAGCTCGAGGAAACCGGAGAGCAGACCAAGCCGCAAAGCAAGCGGCTCAGAGAATGAACATTTTGCCCCTTCAAGTGTGTCCGGAAGCCACTCACATCGAGAGCTTCCAGTACACACCTGAAGATCTCGTTTGTATAAACAAATTAGGGTTCAAAAATTCCTCACCCCAAGAGATATACAAGTCTGAAAAAGGGAAAGTTGTCCTGCCCCGGAAAGAGGCAGAAGAATACTTAAGGCAATTACATCAACTGACACATTTGGGAGCAAAAAACCTAAAGACTTTAGTTCGAGACTCCCCTTATCATATTATTGGATTAGGAAAATTAGCTGACGAGATTGTAAAAAATTGTGTTCCCTGTCAATTAGTAAACGTGAGCAAAAATCAAGCAATATCCGGGAAAAGACTTCGAGGAGATCGCCCAGGAACTTATTGGGAAGTTGACTTCACTGAAATTAAGCCTGCTAAGTATAGATACAAGTACCTTCTAGTTTTTCTAGACACATTTTCAGGATGGACAGAGGCGTTCCCCACCAAAACTGAAACAGCTCAGACGGTGTCTAAAAAAATCCTTGAAGAAATATTTCCCAGGTTTGGGATTCCAAAGGTAATCGGCTCCGACAACGGCCCTGCTTTTGTTGCCCAGGTAAGTCAGGGATTGGCCAAGATCCTGGGGACGGATTGGAAATTGCATTGTGCATACAGGCCCCAGAGCTCAGGACAGGTAGAAAGGATGAACAGAACTCTAAAAGAGACCTTGACTAAATTGTCCATAGAGACTGGCTTATGTGATTGGTTAGTCCTCCTTCCCTTTGCCCTGTTTAGAGTTAGGAACACTCCCAGCCGCTTTGGACTAACGCCTTTTGAAATAATGTTTGGGGCCCCGGCCCCGCTTCAGTCAGCACATCTTCATACATTCCCTGAGTGTGCAACTAATAAGTTTTTGCTTGAAAGGTTACGAGCCTTGGAGGCTGTGCAGAAAGAGGTGTGGGCCTCCATCAAGGAAGCCTATCAGCCAGAAGACCTCTCGGTGCCTCACCAGTTCCAGGTGGGAGACCCAGTCTACGTGAGAAGGCACCGGACAGGAAACCTCGAGCCACGGTGGAAGGGACCTTTCATCGTCCTCCTGACTACTCCCACAGCTGTAAAAGTGGACGGCGTCTCTTCCTGGATACACGCTTCACATCTAAAGAAGGCACCCCCGGACCCGGACTGGCGAGTAACTCGGACTGATAACCCCCTTAAGCTTCGCTTGTGTAAAAAGAATTATGCTGTTAGTAATTCTGATGCTCCTGCTACTTCCAACCCACCAGAACCCTAACCCCCATGAACCCAGGTTACTGACATGGCAAATCATTACCCCAGCTTCCCACCAAGTAGTAGTCCAGTTAACAGAACAGCATCCTAGGGGGACTTGGTGGCCTACCCTCACTGTAGACATATGTACTCTCTTCAAACAAGACCCTCGGCACGGAGGTAGAATAGGAAGGCCAGGATGTGGATCTCGGGCTTCTATGAAAAAACTCCAAGATACCTGCTTCTATGTGTGCCCAGCCCCCTCAACCGATCGTGCTAAAGCCTCACAGTGTGGTGGGCAGGCAGACTTTTTCTGCAAAAATTGGGGCTGTGAACAAACAGGGACATGTCATTGGATAGGCAGAAATGCCGGGAGCTCCCCTCCAAGTCTTATAAGAGTTAAAAGAAACAGTACTCAGGCCCAATGTATGACCAGCTCTACCTGTAATCTTATTGATATTTCCTTTACTGAAGCCGGAAAAGGGGCAAATTGGGAAAGAGGGCTCATGTGGGGATTAAGACTCTATCAGGAAGGATATGATAATGGAGTTGTATTCACTCTTAGACTCAAAGTAGAAACCCTCCCAGCTATTCCAGTAGGACCAAACGCTGTCTTACCAGATCAGCCTCGCCTCCCAACCCCAGCCCCGAAAAGAACCCTAACTATTTCAGCTGTCCCCGTCTTTGCTCCTAGCCCACTGACCTCCTTTTCTAGCAATGGACAGCGCCTCCTCAACCTTGTTGAGGGAGCTTTCAGAGTCCTAAATGCCACCGACCCTAAAACTACAGAGTCCTGTTGGTTATGTTTTTCTTCTAGACCACCTTATTATGAAGGGCTGGGATTGTCAGCTGATTTTAAGAATACAACCAGCCACGAAATTTGTAGTTGGGGCAGTCATAAAAAGCTAACACTAACCGAAGTGTCTGGAATAGGAAAGTGTCTAGGTACGGTTCCCGCCACGCATAAAAATTTATGTAATGAGACCATCCCCATGATCCCCACAAGAGAAAACAGGTATTTAGTCCCACCACCTGAAGGATGGTGGGCCTGTAATACTGGACTAACTCCATGTGTTTCCACCTCTGTCTTCAATTTCTCCCACGAATTCTGTATAATGGTCCAGTTAGTACCCAGACTAATGTATCATGATGACTTCTCATTCGTGGCAGAATTGGAACCTAGACTAAGGTATAAGAGAGAGCCAGTCTCACTCACTCTAGCTGTATTACTAGGAGTAGGAGTCGCAGCCGGAGTAGGAACAGGGGCGGCTGCAATTATACAAGAGAACCAACATTATGAAGGACTAAGAATAGCTATCGATGAAGATTTGAGAACTATAGAACAGTCTATTTCTAAACTTGAAGAGTCCCTAACCTCTCTCTCTGAAGTAGTGCTGCAAAACAGACGAGGATTAGATTTACTATTTCTAAAAGAAGGTGGATTATGTGCAGCTCTAAAGGAAGAGTGCTGCTTCTATGCAGACCATACTGGAGTAGTAAGAGACTCAATGTCTAAATTAAGAGAAAGATTAGATCAGCGAAAGCGAGAACGAGAAGCTAACCAGAGCCTGTTTGAATCCTGGTTCTCTAGATCCCCATGGCTTACAACTCTAATATCCACCTTGACAGGACCCCTGCTTATTTTTATATTGCTCCTCACCTTAGGTCCCTGCATTTTAAATCGAGTAATAACCTTTATTAGAGAAAGAGTAAGTGCTGTGCAGGTGCTAATGCTGAGACAACAGTATCATACCCTCACACATCAAGAAGACACCAACATTCCATGATTAGAATGTTCAGAAAAAGAAGTGGGGAATGTAGGACCCCAACCTCCCTGAGAAATAAGTTAGCCTAAGAGTAGCCATCTTGAAGCCCGAAAAACCATTCTGATATATGACTCAGAGGGAACAACTGAAACCAGGTAACTCCTCTGGAAAAACAAGTTAATCAATCATGACTGCTGGCAGCGCTAACCTTTCGGTTAGTTAAACATAAAAGCTGACCCTACCTTGCTACACCCCCAGGACGTGGCACCAACTCAGAAATCGTAGGTTTGAAAAATTACTGCCTTTGTAGTATTGTTATCTTGCTATGTAGTATTGTTATCTTGTTACTACAACATAATCTGTAACCATGGTAAATCTCTAGGGCTGAATGCCTCAGAAAATCCTATATAACCACTTAGTTGTAAGTACTCAGGGTCCTCGTTGAGACCCGCTGCGACGGGCTGACTTGGACCCCAACTAGTTGGCTTCTGAATAAATTCCTCTTGCTTGTTGCATCAAGAAACGTCTTTGGTGAGTGATTTGGGGCGGCGTCTTCCTCAGGGGAATCCAACAATACCAGCTGTGAAACAACTACCCCAAGTTTTCTTATATATAAGGTAAACAAAAAAATAAACTGCTTGTTAAGTCACTGGTTTGGGAGGGTTTCTCTAACTTTTGCCTGACCCAACCCTAGATGACAGAGTCAGCCCAAGCTGATACAGTCATCCCACAACTCACACATTGCCAGCAGTAGTCATGAACAGTCATACACATACTTCCAGATCTTGGCCAGGACTGTAATATAATTTATCCCCCGTTCCCTCTTTCTGATGCCTTACTCATTTCTCTCTTTCTCATTTATTCTCACCAACCTTGAATAATTAGAATAGTCTTTCTTCTTCATGACTACTCCCTAAATTGGCCTCAGAAAGGTAATACTTGTTTCCAGATGTCCTTTTAAACTTGTCACTCTACCTAAAAGATATGACATTTCACAATTTCTTTTAAGAGTAATGGATCGTTGCTAATTTTGACCTCTAATGTTCTCCAAAATCCACTGCTTAGCCATCATTGTATCTTTGCAGGCAGTGTGCACTCTGCTGTAACCATGACAGTGTACTACTACCAGTTGCATGTTATTAATCTAAATCTCTGCTTGCTTTTAATAATGTCACTCAGTTTTTCCCATGTTAAGTAACCATATTCATCTACATGTCAATTAACCTCTTGAGCATTCATGTACAGTTATGTCTATTAATGAATAAAAAATTTAACTTTTTTATTATTATTTCTATTGATAATTACCTTATCAGTCACAAAACTAAAATGCTTTGTCAACACCTTTTCTTACTCCTCCTGGCATCTTATACACTCTGTACATCATGGCCAGTTCAATGTTCTGGATTGTTAACTATCTAGGAAAAATTAATGAGAGCAGTTGTTAAGGAGTTCTTTAAAATGAATTATTAAAGAGTATTTCAGACTCTTGTATTTATAGCTACTTGCTTAAAATCAGACAATATTCCAATAGCCCACTTTGGGGGAGTCAAGGAGAATAGTTCAGAACGATTACTGTTAATTACCTCTGGTGATTGCATCAATGTTCCAGTTAATTAAGGATAATTGTAGAGCTGACATGTGACAAGGCTGGTAATTAGCCAGCTGACTTTATTGGGCTCACTTTGTGGCAAGTCTTAAGTATATAAAATGTGTACAAAGCTGCTGATCTAACAAGCTAACATTAGTGCTGAAGTTAAATAGATATGTTGGTTAAATCAGTATTTGTTGCAACTTAACATGAAAGTAGCAACTGAAATGGCGGTTTTCTTAAATAGTGGAAGACTGGGAAAGAAATAATTTTGCAGTCTGACACTCCTCCACTCAAGAATATTACCAAATAGAACACACTGTACACAAACATTTGCACAGTGTTGGTGATTTTTGTGGATCAACAGTCAATCAAATCAGCTTAATAGTTGAAATCAATAACAAAGACAGGCAAAATACTTTATCACATCTCAGTTGGTAGCTGTGCATAGATAAACCAAAAGGGCTGAAAAAACTATTTTTTCTTTGATATTTTGATGAAAATCAGAAAGTTATCTGAAAATATTTAATTCAATATGAATAAATTGATGGGAAAACATGAAGAGAATTTTAAAGTACAAAATGCAAGTAATTTTTTTTCTGAAAAACTCATACTCCTCCAAAAAAATTTGGTCCAGAAATTATCTTTTCCAATAAGTATTCTCTAGACATCCACATTAGATGAGGAGCTCTGCCTGTGTGTTCCCATGATACCAGGGGCGCACCATTCATTATATTATTCTTTACCAAATTAGGGTGAAATTGTTGGAGTTGTGATTGTTCCTCATGCTAATGGACACTAAACTCCTCAAGGACAGGGACTATGCCTTACTCATCTTTATTCCTTCTCCAATAGGCATGCTTCTTGGTGCCTATCACAGTGTTTTGCTCATCATAGACATTTGATATATGTTCTCTTTAATTGAAGTATAGTTGATACACAATATTATATTGGTTTCAAGTATACAACATAGTGATCGACAGTTATCTACATTATTAAATAGTCACCCCAACTAGTGTACCTGTCAACATAGAAGGATGTTATAAAACTATTGACTATATTCTCTAGGCTGAAATTTCATCCCAGTCAATAATTTATATTATGATTGAGAATTTGTGCCTCTTTATCTCCTTCAGAATTTGTGCCTCTTTATCCCCTAACTCTTCCCCCAAGGTAACTACCAGTCACTTTTCAGTGTCTATCAGTCTATTGCTATTTTGTTCATTTTGTGTTTTTTTTTGTTGTTGTTTTGTTTTTAGACTCTACATATAAGTGAATACATTTCTAAAACTGACATGAATTGAAATCCTCAGATCTATACAGCTGATATATTCATTAGGCTTTTCATTCATTTTTGTTTTAATTTATAATTGTGAACTAACTTTAGACTTACAGAAAAGATGCAAAAATAGTATAGTTTCTATATACACTTCACTCCATTTTCCCTAATGTTAATATCTTACATAACCATAGTAAAATTATCAAAATCTGGAGATTAATATTGGTACAAAGCTATTAACTAAACTATAAACCAGTCATATTTCACACATTTTTTTACTAATGTCCATTTTTTCTTTCAGGATTCAGTCCAGGAACCCACGTGGCATTTAGTTGATATGTTTCCTTAGCTTTCTCTAATCTGTTACAGTCCTTCATTATTTTTTATGATCTTGACAGTCTTCAAGAAATACTGGTCAGTAATTTTGTAGA